GAAAGAGCCACCAACTAGTCCCACTCCCCCACCCTTTACTCCATAGCCCTACGAATATTTCCTTTTTAAGCACCTATTCAATTCCCTTTTGAAACCTACTATCAAATCTGCTTCCACCACTCTCTCAAGCAACGCATTCCACTTCTTGTGACATGTTAAATTTAAGGAATAACGTCACTATTAGAAACATCTTAAAATATTTCTACCTGCAGATTTTGTGTATACTTTGTAGGCAAATTTGCTCCAATAGTAAGTGCTTATTTATAGAACGGCCTTGTGATTTGATTTTCTTTCTCTTATGTTTAATGATTATTCTTTACAGACCTGTAGGAAATGCAAGTGCTGAATGAAAAGTCATACACACCATCTATATGATTCTTTGGCTGACTTCTGCATCCTATCACTGCTCCCAATATGCAGTAAATGTTTCATAACTCGACCCTGGCTTAACGTATCACCACCAGTTAAGTCATCATAATGTCAATACCCTGGCCTTGATTTTTTTAATGTATTTATACATATGCCTACCTCACCACTCCGGATAACTTGTTACTGAGCTCTTTGCTCTTGGAGTCATGAGTTATCAGTTTAGTGTATTTTGTCTGTGTCCAAAAAAAGTTGAGTAGCTTCCTCGCTGAACGTATCATCTCAATATCAAGCTGTTTCCTCTCAAATAATCAATACGGTCATAAAATGCGATGCTAAATTGAGAGGGTCAAGCATTTTCACATCAATGAAGTCACCAATCAGAGAGGTAATGCTATATCCAGCTCCTTGGGATGTCCTCCCGACGTGAAAGGCGCTTTGCAAATGTTATTTTGTATTGTATTGTACTTCTACAGTTACGCTACTGACAGCTATCTACCAATTTGATGTTGTGACTCTCTAACAGCAATTTGGAGCCTGAAAAGCATTGTTATATACCATCAGCTCCAAACTGTTCTGGTCTGCAATGGAGTGTCAGGAAAGTAGATTTCCACACATGCATGGTGCAGAGGTAATAATAATCTTTACATTTGATATAGCGCCCTTTTCACGTCGTCGAGACATCTCGAAGCACTTCACAGAATATCCTGTAAAGTGGATTGACTGTGTATTTCGCGGGTGAAACAACATACTAATTAATCGTATGTAATTAATTAATGGTAAGCATTGGTGCTGTGATTGCTGTCAAATGCCAGTTAATTCTTGAAGTTAACGAAGACTCCGTCAGGATTCTTAAAAAGTTAGTAAGATCCAGGAGCTTAAACTCACAACTTTTTGTTAAAAAAAAGTTCAAAAGTTGGCGATGTGTCAGCCTCAATCAGACGGGGGCCATGTTGGAGTCAGGCACATCAACTCCAATTGGAAACCACCTCCTAGAAGAGATTTCGCAATCCACAGAACGCAAAATACTGCAGAAGGGTCAGGCGAAGCTCTGATGAAGGGTCACAGACCCGAAACATTGACTCACTTTCCTTTCTCCGTAGATGCTGCCTGACCTGCTGAGCGTTCCCAAAACTATTTGAAATTGATGTAAGTCGTGTGGCATGACTACCGATTTAGAGAGAGGGCATTGATATCTCGTTGAAAATGAATCGGAACGAGTCTCATCAACACAAGGGAACATGTGAACCACATGTGCGGAATGTAATGAGTCGTAGCTGACTACGCAGATCGTAATGTAAGATTCATATCCTGCAGGCTTGACTCAGTTACCTGAGGGGACAAGGTAAAACCTCACAGACTAACGCGTACACACAGTTATTCAACTTCCTCCTGAGGTTGTACAATGTTGTGAGGAATCGATGACTGTACATGGATTGTTAGGAGTGGCCTCAATGTGAGCTCTTCTCATGCTATGCTTACTCTACGTTCTTACGAGTAACTTCTCCATGTTGTTTGATTGATTAGTTGTTTGATCAATTATTCCATATTTCTCAACTTGCATTTTAAAAAAAAGTTACTTTAAAAGGACACACACACATCTGTATAATACGATATATTTTAAAGACACACATATGATAATATGTGGAAGGATATGACATTACTGGCAGTTCATTATTGCTTTAATGTGTAACTGTCAGAGACAGATAACCTACTAGGGCAATCAAAAGTGAATTGCATTTTCGCTTCACATCTGCAAAATGAAAGCCAATAAAATTGCCATGAAGGGAGCAGTATTTATGAACCATAAATCACTGGTTTCGTTTGTACACTTCAAACAATATTCACATTTTTTTAAGTCTAAATATAGATAAGGTTCTTTCTTTTAAAAGCTTCTAATCATGCAGAGGACCTTTGTCAATCAACTCTACAATACACTGTGCAATGCTATCAACATGGGAACTACCCGCAGGTGAGTATCACATTACTAAGAAACAGAAAATAATACGACCAACTGACTATTAAGAACAATGCCTTGCAGAGGTCTGTGCAACATTATTTTCATTTCTACTCATGAGACTGTAGATCGCTCATCACTTCATCATTTTTCACGGAAATAAAATTTGCATTACTCCTACCCTCATATAATATTCCCTCTTTATTAGCTGGAGACCGCAGTACACAATTACCATTCACAGAAACATCAGCAAAACTACTTATGCAGTCGTTACTAGGACAGAATTTTAATTCATAATCCCAGGTGGATATAAGAACTGCGAGACGAAAGAAGACCCAGGTCCATCCAGTTTGTCTTCCACCATCCTGGCAGTTGCTTGCCCATGTCTTGTCCCAAACTATATACTGTATCATTCAGATATTAGATTCAGTGGGGGAAAGGTGTAAATGCAGAAATATCCATGCCAACTTTCAGCGTGGAACATGCAATCCAGTTCCACAGTGATCTGGGAGGGTGGTGGTACTTGTGTGGACACTGAGCAACCTCACTTGTACTCTACAAGGTTGGAGTGGAATTAATTCATTCAGCTTGCATTTGGGACATCCTCCAGATGTGAGAGGCACTATATAAATCAAGCTGTTGTTGTTGTTGGAAGCCATCACTATGTCTGGCTGTCAGATCGAACTGTCCCACCACTGTACTGACGCTCTACTTTTTGGGAAGTTGCACAATTAGATTCAAACGGAATCAAGTCGAGCACAAAATAAGAATCATGGGAATCACACAAACAAGCACCAACACTTTGATCGTAAGCACGGTTGAAGAGGAAAGTTTTCAGGCGGGACTTGAAAGAGGGGAGAGAGGGGGCAAGGCGGAGGGATTGAGGGAGAGTGTTCCAGAGTTTGGGGTGTAGTGGCTGAAAGCGCGACCTCCGATGGTGGGGCGGAGGGGGCGAGGGACGAGCAGGAGGCCGGTGCCAGTCCGAGTGGAGGCACCGGGTGGTGGATGGGGAGTGAGGAGGATGGAGAGGTCGGGAAGTGCCAGGGAGAGAAGGGATTTGAACACGAGAGTGAGGATCTTGAAGTCAATCCATTTGGTCCGGGTCAGACATGTCATGTCCCAAACTATATACTGTATCCCAAGATATTATTTCCTAACAGAAATCTATCTAATTTGTTTTTACCATGAATATAACTGCCCTCATCGTCACACTAACTGTACTGTACTGTATTCCTTTTTACAAAACTCAATATGAGATTGGATTCAGTAGACCAGAAAATGTGCTCCTGACACTTAGCCAACTAACAAAAAAAAACAAGACGCTGGCTGTGTAATACTTGTGTAGAGTGTTTGTTGGTCAATAGCAGACAGGACAGCAGGGCTTGTAAGGAAGGCTACAGTCAAATCTGGACTCTGGCCGGAAAGTTATAACAATAATATTAATAATAATCCTTGTGTTTGATATCGCGCCTTATCATGTCTTCAAGACGTCTGAAAGCGCTTCACAGAATATACTGTAAAGCGACTGTATATTTTGTGGGCGAAACGCGGCGGCCAATTGAGCACAGCAGCGTCCCCACAAACAGCCATGGATTGAGAGCCCGAATTTGTTTTTGAGTTCATGGAAACGGAGTGAAAAAACGCCCAACTCTTCTCCTGAAAGCCTCACCCCATTTCCATGGTCAATGTTTGAAACGCTGGAGAGACGGAGAGAGCGAAAGCAAAAGAACAGCACCGTTGACACCAACCAGCTGCAAATCCATCTCAACGAAAACTAAGGCTATCGCAATGGTTCAATGTTCCTCTAATTCAAACCAGCTTTCTATCTGCTGCTATCATCCAAAGTTCATCAGGTTTGCTCTGTTCCAAACTGCAGTTGTTGTGAAGCACTCTAGACACACACAATCCTGAACATTTCCATTTCCCACTCATCCCCCTCGCACACCCCTTTAGGGAGTACTGCACAGATTATTTCTCTGGCTCTGTGAGAAGTTTTGCCATCAGGGCCAAAGAAATAAATTTGTCAACGGTCTCGAAGTTTTGTTTCGTTCTCCTTGGAATAAGCCTTCCACAAGGTGCTAAGAGATTTGCGAGTGAGGTATCTCTGCACCCACACCACACCACACAACACAAGTGTTCAGAACTTTTGTGTGTGTGTGTGTGTTTCATTTGTAAAATGATCACAATCATTCATAGTATTCCACTTGTGTCCACAAAATCTCCAACTGATGTTGAGCTACTATGTTGCATGTTAAACAATTATTTACCCTCTATTTATAACCCACAAACACACACACATACACACACACACACACAAAACATATGTCACATTATTATTAAACAGCATTTAATTGGGGGGGGGGGGGGGGTAAAAAAAAAAGTGCTTCATCCAGGACGGTAACAAAATGCTCATTTTAATTATTCCATTATTTCCATTATTATTAGCATTCCCGTCGTAGAAAAAAAATGCTAATGATTGGATTCAATCGCAGCGACTTGAGCACGAATAAAGGAACTCTCTCTTTTTTTTAAACTCACGTGAATTAATGAACGAATCGATCAGTTGCAGAGTTGTGTTGAGGGTGATTCCTTTTGAGACCGTTTCAAATAAATAAACCCCCCGCTCCCCACCCAAAAAAAAAAGCCAGGATCGGTAAAAAGATGATGCGTTACTCACCAATACTATCACGAACCTCTCCTCCAGTTCGCCTGGCTCAGGCATGGGCAGCTTCAGGGGCATAGTGTGCGCTCTGAGGTCCGTGTGCTGGGAATCCATACTCCCAGCATTTCCCATTATTGTCTTGACGAGCGCCTCGGGACGTCCTCCCGACGCGAAAGGCGCTCTCTAAACGGAATCTCGTTGCTGCTGCTGTTGTTGTTGCTGCTGCTGTTGTTGTTGTTGTTGTTGTTGTTGTTGTTGTTCTTGTGCGTGCGTTGAGGATTTCCGATCCTGGTTTCCGCCCAGTTTTCGAAAGCGGATCCCGATGCCAAATCAAACAAAAAAAAATAATAATAATAATAATAATAATAATAACAATAAACAATAATGTTGCCTGTTTGGGCTTTGTGCAAACACAGCAGCAATGAGCAGACAGCACCTTCCCTCTCACTCTCTTACAGTGCACAGTACACACACACACACACACGAATACTCTTGGAAAGCTCCAATCTGATCAGTTCCCAGTGTCTCAAACAGCAGTGAAACCGACATGAAACCAACTGCAATCTTCCTGGTCTGCCTCTGGCATCATCATCATCATCACCAGCATCATCAGCATCAGCATCAGCATCAACATCTGGACTGCACCCCCCAAAACAGCATCCAGAACCCCCTTCCCAGAGAGAGAGAGAGAGAAAAAAACAATTCACGATGAGTGTCTCTTTGCTTTCATTCTCCTGTTGGGGGTTTTTTTTTTCTCCTCTCTCTCTCTCTTCTCTTCTCTTCTCTTCTCTTCCAACCCTCTCCCTCAGCCCTGACTGTATGTGGAGTATTTCAGCAAAGAAACAGCTTCTGCTCTAACTGTTCTGCTTTGCACAATCTCTGTTGCACTCCCAGTCTGTGCATTGCATTGGTTCAGGTTTTTTTTTTAGTTGATTCTCCCCCTTCTTCTTCTTCTTCTCCTCCTTTCTCTCTCTCTCTCTCTCTTTCTTCTCTTCCTCCTTCTTGCTGGTTACATTCACACAATAAGAGCTTTGATCCCACACCACACACACACACACACACAGAGCTCTGCTCAAAGGGGCGTTTATGCGCAACTGAACACACACACACACAACACACAACACACACACACACACACTCACACACTGGGCGGATTTTCTGCAAAGTCGCTGGATTGTGGGTCTTGTAGTTTATTGCACTGTATTGCACAGTGAGAAGAATGTAACACTGATAGATATTCAATCAATCAATCAATCAATCAATCAATCAATCAATCACTCACTCGCTCAATCAATACCAACCCACCATCGTTTCGGTCCACTCGAGCCACGGTTGCTTTTGCGGGACGCTGCTGCCACGTTTTCGCTCCCCAAAATACACAGCGGATTCACTTCATGCGTAGATTTATAGTATATTGCAGGAGGTTATGGTGTGTATCTCGTGACGCGCTTTGAGACGTCTGGGAGACGTGATCAGGCGCTGCATCAAACCGCAAGGAATATTATTATTATCGTTATATATTAACGATAAAGATGTGGATTTTCTCAGGTTCCAGAGAGGGAATAATGTTTCCAGTGTCAACGTCCTGGTGAAGTTGGTCCAACGATGCAGACGAGAGTGTTTAATTCAAACCTTTTCTTCTTAAGGTTAAGCGTGGCCATGTTACCACCACAACAACAACTTGCGTTTACATAGCGCCCGTCGCACTGGGCAGCGTCTGGGAGAGCTTAACACGTTACTTTCTATTCCCAGTGATGCACACTGCAAATGCCTAAGATTTCAGCTATTTCGATTCCATACGCTATTAAGAATCCTGCAATTTAGACCCCAAAGTTACAGATAGTCACTCAAGTCACCCATACATTCAAGCACGTAGTCTAAAAAAAACCCTAAAAACTGTACAAATAAAACTGCGGAACTCTCTCCCTCAATCCCTCCACCTTGCCCCATCCTTCCCTATCTACTGTGCGCAATTAGCTGCCGCATTTTGCCCACAAAATATACAGTCAATTCACTTTACAGTATATTCTGTGAAGCGCTTTGAGACGTCTCGAAGACGTGATAAGGCTCTTTTTTCAAATGCAAGGATTGTTATTATCTTCAGGTCGCGCCTGAAGATCTCTCTTTTCGACCGTGTCTTCGGTCACCTCCCCCCTCCTCGACATCGTGCTGCGTTACTGACTCGTGCTCTGGGACGCTACCTTGTGCGAGGGGCGCTATGTAAAAGCAAGATGTTGTTGTTGCTGTAGCCCAGGTTTTCAGACACAGGCTTCAGAGTTCAGAAAGTTAGCAAACCCAAGAGTTGACTGGAAAGCAGCTCAATTAGAGGAGAAACAGATTTTGTAAGAACCTGACCAATTATAGCCATTTGGTCTCAGATGCTTTCACATAAAGACAGAGGCCATTAGACTGCAATGCAGTTTGCCATTCACATCAATGATTTACATTTTCCGCCATTAGATTTTCACACGTTCATTGTCACGGTTTCGTGCTTGAGGAGATTTCCGAAACCAGCTGAAAGGCTTACCCTGATACTATTATATTACAAATTGTTTGGAAAAGAAGTTCTGTTATACGGCGATGCCCCGAAGCTTCTAGCGCCCTGTTTGTATTGTATTGCGTAGTTTGTTCAGCAGCTGAAACAACAGAAAAACTGAATAGAAATAAGCACACTCACTTTCAGATCTGCCAAAGTAGCAGGGTCAGAATGCACAGCTTCAGAAGGGATACTAAGACCAATGTTATGACACAACATATTTCTTTAGGGGTTACTAAAGAATAATAATTGAGAACAGGACACTGAACACATTTAATAAACAGCTTAATTCTCAAATGGGAAGATGATAGGTTGATATTCTAGAAAGATGAGATCAAATCGAACGAAGACCTTTCTTTCTCTGACGTTTAAAAAATGTACAATTTTAAAACCACAACTAACTCATGAGTTTATTTCTAATTAATTCACTTTATCCTGTGAAGCGCTTTGAGATGTCTTGAAGACATGATCAGGCACTTTATCAAATGCAAGGATGATTATTATTATTATTATTATTATAATAGTACTGTGGGCCTTTACAGATGGGCTGATGGCCAGAAAAGATGTCCGTCATTGTCTCCAGCAGTATTGTATTGAAACCTGATGTACTGCTGTCTTGAGACACCAGAAAAGAAACACACCCTCTTTAGGTGGGTCTCAAAACTTCTGAAAACGGTAGCATCACCTCATTTTGTTTGCAATCCCACTGCCAAAGTCCAGACTGCTGTAAGCTTTAGCGTGAGCTTTAGCAACTTGGTCCTGAGGACATTTAAAAATGTTCTTCCTACTGCCTGTTTGGCTCCAAATCTCTTTCCAACACTCAATGGCCATCTGCTAATTATGCCATTAGACACGATTTGTAACCAGACAATGTATATGAATACTTTGCACCCACCACATTGTTGAAATATTACATTTCTTACAGTCTCAGCATTTAGATAGTGTCAAAGCCATCAGATAATCATAAAATTAATAGGATACCTTATGAGTGTGTTGCACAGGAGACCTAAACATCCCACTTTAGAGGAGACCTATACATCCCAGGATCATAGATCCTGTTAATGTTTCAAAGGCAGGTGAAATTATATAAATGATCTTCCTCTGTATGGAAATGTGTTGCCTTTCTCATGAACAGGAGATACTAAGCATGATGGTTTCGCCAAAAAGTCAAATCAAAGAAAGCTACAGAGCGAAGCAAACCAGACAACAATGCAGAGATAACAGGTTTTTCTTCTCGAAATGACAAAAGGTTGCAACATGTTTTAAAATTGAGGGTCGTTAAAATTCTTCAAATTTTTCAGTGTTGTATTTATTTCATTATTGTCTGCTTCTTGGAACAAGCAAAGTGTTCATTACTGCTTACGGTGCACATCTTTTAAATTGGATTATAATTGAAAACACGAAACCAAGTTGAATTGAATCCATAGGCAAAACATGCCTTAAAGCTGTGTGTGAGCTGAAATGTGTATTTAGTCTCAAGTGCTAACATTTGGATACAGAATTCCTTGGACTTGCATCTTTGAACTCTAGCAGAATGTTGAATATATAATGCGGCAGCCTTCAGATGCTCTAGTCTTAGCCAAAGTACTCCTGGCCTGAAGTGCTTTGTGGCCTTTTGAAATTCTTTGGTAATTCTTACCTTGTTGGTCTAAACATTCCAGAGAGCATTTGGTGATTGTGCGCACGCACAGCATGAGCTTTAGGTTAGTTTGTGGATGCAGTAGACAGCTGGCTGAGATATTTGAATGCTCTTGGACGGTTAATTAGCATACAACAATACATCTAAATAGACCAGGCAGCTGCTTACTCCATGAGCACCCATGTTGTAAATCCTTGCAAAGCAGTGGGTCTTGGTTTAATTGGTTATCCCAAATGGCTTACCTCTGAATTCAAAATTATCGAAGACAATAACGAACGTGTTCCCCCCCCACCCCCAATCCTCGTCACTACGTAGCATTTGGGAGTCACTCTCCTTAACGAATGCTGTACAATATTTAACACAAGACAGTTGGTTCAGGTAATCGCCAAACCTTCAGATTAAGTGTCTTATTCTTTGTGACATAATTCAACAACCCCAAAACCAGGTAAAACCACCAAGCCCACGGCAACGATAAGCGAAGTAAAGGCAGGGGCAAGATGGCTCCCTGAAAGAGCTCGGGATTGTCAGATAAAATGGGAGCGTTGAGTTGTGGTGGCCACCGATTCGTGGGGGAATAAAACATCCGTGCATTTCAAAACTGCTGCTGTTTTCTATCTTTCCAGTCACCCCTGTCAATAAAGAACATGTCATGCTTCCAATTCTCCAGTTGCTGACTCTGCCCTAAAATCTCATCTTTCAATGGTGATTCTTTGCCTGTTTTCCCAAATGTCTTCATCATTGATGAAGTCTCCTCTCTATTTTCCAAAGTTATATTTGTCTTTGAGCGTGACTTTTCAAGTAACCTGGTGTCTTTCTCCAACAAAATCGTCACTCCACTTGACAATAAATCCTGTGAAGCTCTCAATGACGTGCTAAGGCGCTACATCAAATGCAAGGGTTATTATTAGGTATCACTCTGCTCACGGTGTTGAATTAGGCAATATAGATATTACAGTCTAATTTGTGGTACTATATTTCTAATGGAAATCCTTAAGAAGAAATCTTAAGGTGTGCAGATAGA